GGAGTACTTGTTAGGTGCCGCCTGACTCATAGCAGTCCTATGTGCCACAAAATGAAACATTAGGGGTGGGTTAATGAAATGTTTGACCAAAGATAGCCGGCTAATAGTTAAGTTGATCATTTTGTATGGCCCACAAATGGTGTTATACGTAAACAAAAGGCTCTTGGCAGGAAAGTGTCCCCCCCACCCCCACCCCCTGTTCGAAAGGACCCTTGGTAATTGAATAACAGTTTCTACGGCATGAGTAGGGAAGAGGCATTCTATCTTACTAATGAGCAGCACAGGTCAGCACACAGGGGAACTGTCACCTCGTCCCCATCTCGTCTGGGTGAGACCATGCCAAACATGCACAAACCTTCAGGCAACAATACACAGTGACATAGTGCATGGATCTTTTATATATACTTACATAGACATACACATACGTGGGCACACCTTCCAAAAATTCAGTGCCATGTAGTCAATTCCTACCCATTGTGACTCTGTAGGACAGAATAGAGGTGACCCTGTGGGTGTTATATTTTCTGTTTGTTTGAATCTCTGCAGGAGAGAGGAGCTCCATCTTCCTCCTGCAGAGCAGCAGGTCGCTTTGGATCTTTCAGTGAGCAGCCCAAAGCATCAGCTTATAGCTGCCCAAATTCTTTGAAAAATTAGGGTTCCTTATTGCCAACGTCCGAAGACTGATACAAAATGTTTCCAAACAGAACACTGTTTTCAGGTTGACTCTGGGTCACAAAGAGAAACCACTCTATTACCCGAGCTCATATTATAACAATTATGTGCATAGATATTATATATTTTTGCATTGCCACCAAATGTGTGCAAAACATGCATCAGAATCCTACTGAAAATAGGAATTACTGGTGTTGAAAGCCAAAGTGTAATGTCAGTTTTCAAAAGATTCTGAGTCGTATAAAGCCTAGGCATCAAAGGCAAGCAGGACAGAGAAAGATGGAACAATCATGGCTGGAAAACACACAACCCCTAATAAGACATAATAACATTTCGGAAACCCTGAAACAGGGGTCTTGATTCCAAGAAAGCTTACCTTTGTGGAGTGCCCAACGGTCTAAGACATGAAAGCCTTTTCTTTGACTCCAGTTTCCTCAACCTTCCAGATCCCATCAGGAACCCTGCTGACTATGTCACTTGTTTTAGGGTACAAGAGACCACCAATCTCACATTTAAGAACACCTAAGTCTTAAACAAGACAGAGCCTGGCACACACCATGTGGATGAGGGACAAGAAGTCATAATGGTATGCAAAGGTTGGCTGATAGAGCTTTAAAAAGGAAATGGAAGGGTAGAGGAAACTGTCACAAAAGCACGATTGGTGTCAGATCAATCATCTTCATTACAGGTAGGACTACAGAAGTGGGAAATGGACAATGAACAGACCACGTACGTTCTGTTAGGAAAGCTCACAAGATTGATCCAGGTCTTTCTGACCAAGGCAGTCAGGGCATAACTCAAGAAAATGTGATGCCCAATGTAGGGCTCTCCATCAAGGGCATAAAGATTACACATTTGGCTACTATCTGCCAGGTCAGTAGTTTGAAACCACCAGCCTCTCCATGGGAGCAAGACTCAGCTTTCTACTCCCATAAAGAGTTGTAGTCTCTGAAACTCAGAGGGGAAGTTCGACCCTGTCCTACACGAGTGGGCATTGACTTTGATGGTACTGAGTGGTGGTATCAAGGACGCATACCCGGGCAAGCCCCTAAGGGAGCATGCCCCTCTTAGACTGGCTGGAGAGGGGTGGACGTAATCCAATTTCCAAAGCACTCTACCTAGGGGCAAGATTATTCACGTCCTTTCTTTAAATTTTTGGCTTTTGTTTGTTAACTTTTTATTGTGAATTAGGTGCAGGTTTTCAGAGAGATCATCGTTTTACAGCCAACAGTTCATACAGATTTTTGGATGATTTTCTCATTCACGGCAACCCCCCCGGTGCACCATCATGCATCCTACTTCCTCCTGGTACTTTTTCTCTCCCTTCCTCCTGCTCTTCTAACCCTCTGCACTTTGTCCTGGGGTAAATGCTGCTCATTTAATTTAATTAATTTATTTATTTATCATTTTACTGGGGGGATCTTACCAGTCTTATGACAATCCATCATTAAACCGTATTAAGCACGCTTGTACATATGTTGCCATCAACACTTCCAAAACATTTTCTTTCTAATTGAACCCTCAGTATCAGTTCTTTTTTTCACCTCCCTCTCCCGCCCTCCCACTCTTGTGAACCCTAAATCAATTATATAATATTGTGTCTTACACTCTCTGTTGTCTCCCTTCACCACATTTCTGCTAATCATCCCCCTGGGGGGTGGGCTATATATCCAACCTTGTGATGGGTTCCCCTTTTCTGCGCCCTCCCACATGATATCGCTACTCCCACTACTCCACCAGCTGCTCTGGGGAAAAAGATGAAGCATTCTACTCCCATAATAATTTTGCACTCTCAGAAACCCACATGGTCATTTCTACTGTGTACTACAGGGTTGCTATGAGTTGAAGTAGATTTGATGACAGTGAGTTTTTAAAAACCTGCAAATGGGGAGCTCAGAATTTAACAGCTCTAATAAAAACTCTTAAATGCTAAAATTTTGGTTTCTGTTTCACGTATTAACTGCGCTAGAGTGGGACGGGGTTTGATTTCACAGTGGGGCCAGGACTGTTCTCCTGTAAAGAGCCTCAAAGTAGGGAAAGGATTAGGCTGTAGTCTAGCATTAGGGGTGACCCTGCAATTCCTACAGCTCACCTAACATTAAACCTCTTACAGAGCTTCAAGGCCAAGTTTCCACTGGTTGCTTGTATGGCTGAGCAAACAGCTGTAAGAGGCACTCACACACCCAGCTTCTTCCTCACTCCCTGCGTGTGGCCAGTGGATTTAGTTTCCTTTCTAAAATAGTTTTATTGAGACAGAATTCATAGATCATACACTTCCATAGTTCAGTCATATCATGAAGAGTTGTATAATGAACACTACTATCAGTTCTAGAATATTTTTCTTCTTGTATTCATTACTAGTTCTCCATTTCCCTCCAACATCCCCTCCCATATCCCCAGTAAGTCATTAAACTACTTGCTGTCTCTAGATTTACTGAACCTGGATTTCATATCATGGAAAACATACAAAAACAAATGCAACAACCAGCAAATACATTTTATTTATTTATTTA